TTTTATTGTTCAATTGATCATCTTTTGAGGAATCGGGGTCACAGCACAAGGAAATTTCTCTAGAAATAGATTTAGTCACACGGTTTATCTCACTAGGTATCTGGGGCACTGTCACAAGGAATGATGTACGTCGATTCCGTAATGAGAAAGTTCATGAAAGGACCCTGAATTAATTCATTTTGGAAACACTATATATTAAAAGTTACTAAGGTTTGATACTAGCTTAATGGGGAGAGGGATCGTATATGTGAAATAGGTAAAACGAAGGCACTTTTTTTTTTATTATGAACATTGAAAAATAATTTGTGTGTATTATATAGGGTTAATGGATCAGTCACAAGGAATTAATTATTCTGGCACTATAATAAGACGATCTACGATAAGGTTCACGTGTTAATTTGGGGAATGAATGCCACTAAGGTATATTATAGTTTTAATAAAGACCCATAATTTAAATGCAACTTGCTAACAAAGACACTTTTGTCACAAGGAATTTTAATAACATTTTCAATATATATATTGTTAAAATCGTGGTGAAGGTCACAAGGAAATAACTTCCTTGTTAATAAAAGGAATTAATCTATGATAGGGTAATTTAAATCGGGAACACAAAGCATTAGGGTTTTTTTTCTTTTTTTTAGGTTTAGGTGTGGGCCACTAGTTTAATCGATGATTGGGAGTATTTGCGAAATCTGACAAATAGCTGTATTTTTAAATACATAAGAATAATCCCCACCGATACTGATGGGTGTAGCCCTCTCAGTAGGGCATCTCTAAAAATATTATCTCTCATAATATATATATATATATATACATACATACATACACATACATATTATGGAGGGAAGAGTACTTTTCAGTTTCGGCCTGGCAATTTTTGCTGTAGGAGGTGCGTTGCGGTGCCATTAATTTCAATGGATCCCAAATGCACCTCCTGTTCTCAGTGTGATCACCCGCACTGGAACGCGCAGTACTGCAATGCCCTGCGTTCCAGTGCAGTGCGATTTCAGAAAATGTGCAACCCGTATTAACTAGGTCTGTAACGCTGCATTTGTGTATTTTATTTTAAATAAAGAACGGTAATTTTGTATTTTTTTTAATCCGATCAAAGTTAATAGTCAGCTAACTAATAGATTATGAAAATAATAGTTAGCTGCAGCCCTGGTACTGACTGCGATAATGTAGAAATCCCTTCACTAATGTTGTTACCACCAAATTTATGACCTACAAATTACTTACTTGCGCCTCCAAATCTGTCACTTAAACCAACTACATGTTACCTTGGGGAGAAGGAACTGGGGAAAGCAACTGACAAAAAGGAATGCAATGAGACCTGGTACTCCACTGCCAAGTGCTCCATCAATATAATAAACATAGAAAACTTTTATGAACTTTTTTTTAGGTGCTACCTTCCCCTCCTGGATAGCTAAATATGTCCCAGATTACTTGCCATACTGTTTCAGACAATGTTGACAAGAAAGCATGATGCAGCATTTCTAGTCCTGTACTAAACAACAGCAGCTATGGATCAGAGCCTATAATTTAATCAATTCATTACAAAATTATAACAAACAAAAAGACCCATTCAAATCACTGCCGAACAGGCCAACACCTAATACTTGAAACTGCAAAAAGACGAAACTAATTGTCAACATTTACCACTGCCAAACAACTGTAAACTTGTGGAAATAACTCTAAAAACTTTCTAGAAATCAAAAATAGATTTAATGGTATCATGATAAATGAAACATTAAAAATCTATTACCAGGGATGCACCGATAACGTTTTTTTGGTATCAAGTACTAATATTTTTTTTCGGTACCCACCAATACCGATATAAGAAGCCCCATTAAGGAAGCCGGGTGGCATGTAATGACTCGCCGCCCAGCTTCCCGATTAGCCTAGAATTAGCCAGGGGGCAAGTCATTACCCCCCACCCGGCTTCCTGATAGGTTGGGAAGCCAGCTCCAGGGTGACCAGGGAGCTGGCTTGTTATGACTCCCCGCCGACTTCCTGTATCAGAATAGGTATCGGGGGCATTTGGTCGAGTACGGGTGCACCCCTATCCATTACCCTAGATATGCATAAAGGGTTCCTAAAAACTGGTCTCCATGGATCCCTTACGCTAAACCTAGCAAAGTATCTCTACATATTTAACTTCATCACACTCCCTTCTTGCTCATGAGAACCTCCATAAACCTGGTGCCCAAAGCATCCTTGAGACGATGTTTCAAGTGCCTGGAACAATGCATACCATGAAGCTAATAATGCCACAAATTGCACAAAGATTTAAAAAACAATTACTGTATTTGTTATGTTTAATATTTCTTTAACTCTTTGCAACTACTTCTAACTGTATGCTATGGCAGGGCTCAAAATTTCCACTCGCTCCCCTCGCAGTTGTTGAGTGAAAATTGCAAGGTGGCAAGTGGAAATTAATCGGCGGGGGGTGAAACTACCGCTGCTTCTGTGGCGATCGCTCTCTCTTCTCTGGCAGGGGTGAAGGGAAGACAGCCAAACTGATTCTTCTCTTCCGCAGCGGTTGCAGCTACAGAGCGGCCGAGCAGGAGAAGAATCAGTTGGGCTGTCTTTCCTTGACTCCGGCCACCTGCAGCTTCCTCCGCCCACCTCATCTACGCGTCACATTACTGACCTCTGCATCACATTACTGACCTCTGCACTGTGCATCACATTACTGACCTCTGCACTGTGCATTACACCATTGACCTCTGCACTCTGCATCACACTGCTGAGCTGTTGGAGGGGCAGGGGTTAGGTGGGGCAACTGGTGGCGAGCAACTCTTAAGGCCTGGCTAGTAGCTCAGGGCCTGAAATTTTGAGCCCTGTGCTATGGTATACACTAGAGCTGCAACAACGATTCGATTTAGTTGATTAAAATCGACGATTGAAAACGTTGCAAACGTTTTCGATCGTCGATTAGTCGGCTATCTATTACATTGCCTGCTCGCAGCTCCACACACAAGTCACATAAGCCGTGCACGCGACACCCACCGAACGCGCACACCGCGGTTCAGCCTCCAATCCCGGCGCTCCTTACATCTAGCCAGGCCAGTGCGATCACATGACGGGTGCCGGGGATGTGAGTGCGACAGGTGTCAGTCGGGGGGACGGAGACTATGGCTGGGGAAGAGCTGGCATCCAGGCTGAACCGGTCAGCAGAAGACATGGAGGGAATGTTCCGACAGTAAGTGCCCCGTGCACCCCAATCCACCATCATACCAATTGTCTGCACCCAATTCCACCATCATACCCAACCTCTCCATCCCTGCACCCCATTCCACCATCATACCCATCATCTGCACCCCATCCCACCATCATCATACCCATCCTCTCCATCCCTGCACCCCATTCTACCATCATACCCGTCCTCTGCACCCCATTCCACCATCATACCCGTCCTCTGCACCCCATTCCTCCATCATATCCGTCCTCCCCATCCCTGCACTCCATTCCACCATCATACCGGCCCTCTCCATCACTGCACTCCATTCCACCATCATACCCATCCTCTCCATCCCTGCACGCCATTCCACCATCATACCCATCCTCTGCAACCCATTCCACCACCATACCCGTCCTCTGCAACCCATTCCACCATCATACCCATCCTCTCCATCCCTGCACTCCATTCCACCATCATACCCGTCCTCTCCAATAACACCAGCTATAGAGGAATACATCAGATCCCAGCAATAAAAAATTGTATACAGTGCAATGCAGACTACCAGCAGCTACAGAGGAATACAAATCCCAGCAATAGTACATTATAATGTACTATTGCTGCGATTTGCTGTATTCCTCTAAAGCTGGTGTTATTCTGCATTGCGCCGCTGTATAATGTACTAGATAACACACCACACTTTTTTTTACTTCCACCGCTCCAAGCGTGCTCCTGTGATGGACTACAATCTCAATACAAACTAGTAGTCCATCACTGGAGCCATTTTTTATCCGATTAATCGAACTTAATAATCGGCTAACTAATCGATTATGAAAATAATCGTTAGCTGCAGCCCTAGTATACACCACATTGACCTTTTATGAATCTTGTGCCTGAGATATTCTTCAGTACTAAAAGTAACATTACTTTGCTAAAAATTCAATAAAAAAATAGTATACAGGAAATTCTAAATTCTGAGTGTGGGTCAATCAAGTTGCTTACTCAGTTATGATTAAAGCCCAAAATCAGCTTAAAGCGGCACTAAACTACAAGTTTAAATGAGCTAAACACATTCCAGGTGCATACCCCGTGAGCCAGATAGAGCTCTTCAATCAGCATGGGATGTGAGCTTTGCTGATTGAATATATATTTATCTGAATCAGCATGGGGGAAGGTCAGTCCTCTGCAGAGAGACCACTGCTTCCACACAGAGAGCAAGAGTCATTCTCTCAGCATGCTGGCAGAGGACATGCTTTTCTACTCTTTTCTAAAGAAAATGAACTTAAAAACGTTAACCCTTTTGTTTTGATGAGCCAAGAATGTATTTATAGGATTTAAATGAAAAAATGGAAGTTAAATTGCCCAGGCCTTGTTGGGAAAATAAAGCAGCTTTGACTGTAAAAAACTCACCTTCTCCCTTAGTGCTGTCATGTGATGCAGGAGGGAGGTGCCCAGCCTGAAGTTGGGCCTTATGGCCTGGTACTGGCTAAAACAAGCAAGCTAGAAACTAGGTTACTGATTTCATGTCCTACAGTTTGTGTTAATAATCACTGCTGTGAGTGCTGGCTCTCTGGTCTTTTTTTGCCCTGAGGAGGTTGCAGACATTATAAAAAGAAGGAGCAATAAGCTGGTGGTTAATAGGTGCTCTATTTTTCATGTGGAAGCTAAACAAAATATTTTAATACATTCCCTAAATCTTCCTTGCAGCATTTTGAAAAATGTTAAGACTTGCCTTTGATAAAAGGATTTTCATGTACAGCAATATTTTCACAGTATAACAACTTTGCACCCATAAAAGAAGATTACCATTAGCACCTACCTTTAATGTATGGAATCCAACAATACATTTAGGACGTACTAAGACTTGGTGAATCACTGAATAAAGATCACAGTTTTTGCTCTCTTGAATTCTCTGCTGGTTGTATTTGGTTAATGACAATATTATCTCTAACCCCATTGATTGAGTCTTTTCACAGCTGCTGATCTCCACAGTCTAAAAAAATGTAAATGTCAAAATACAGTATTATGAATAAACACTTATTTAATAAACAATAAAATTAGGCATCTCAGAGATACACAACGTAAACTGATATTTTACCTGTATTTGTGTCCCGATGTGCATATCCACTGCCCAGTACATGGTCAAATGGGCTGAGAGTCTAATTAGCTCTTAAAGCAGATAACCATACTCACAGACTTGTCTCTACATACCCAATAATGTACAAATAAGTGCAAATTTTATAACAAGTTTTAAATTGCTCTATTGATGCTTGTATTCTTATGTACTGTTTTTCAAATGCACCAGTCATTTGCACAGTGCATCAATCTGTCTTTGTGTATATACTGATAATATAAAGTAGATATAAAAACACTAACTGAATATTAGTTTGCCAAAGAACTGTGTGTATCAAACAACTGTAGTTTTCACTTTTTGTCACTCACTGCTGCTGATCTCCTATAGGCCTTTGCCAGCCACTTCCTGTTCATAGCCACATGATCCAGCGATAGCTGCATCTCACTCTCACAAAAAACATTCATCTTTCATTTTACAGTTTTATATGCACAATGTCATCACACAAAGCATTTTAACCTCATTAGAAAAATATAGCCATTATAAAAATGATCAGTAAAATGTACCCGTGCAAACAAATACACCATGGCTCCAATTCCTCCAATCTCATGCAGTATACTGTGTATGTTTTTCTCAAGGCATGGTTGCAACATTTTCAGTGCCTGGGAATCCAGAGTTTTACTAGACACTTCCTTTGCACTAAACGGTCTTTGAGACGATGCAAGCTTCATACTTCCTTTAATTCTGATTACCGGTTCGTAAATTGTGTACTGAAATGGATTGTGCATATCATATACAATTGCTAGACTGTCCTAAAAATCAGAAAAATACAATATGAGCAATATTTTTTTGGAGAAACCATTATTTAAAAATGCTTTTTAATGTTTGCTTCATACACAAGCTACCAAAGTCACTTACAAATTCATATGTAATCCCATCCCCCCTTTCAAATACCACTCTTTAGCATTTGAAGCTGCTCCAGTCATATGTCATCTTGAAAGGGAAACTAGTAAGGAAACCCACCACTCATATGCTAGGTCACCTGGCTGTCATACTGATGCATTGGCTTCAATATTTTCTGACACTTGTTTATAGCATGCTTGCGCTAGGCCAATGGCTCATAAGAGATTGAAGCCAGACACAGCCAAGGAAATAGCATCTGCAGAAAGCAAACAGCAATGGCAGCCCCAATACCTCTCATGATAGATTTCCTTTAGCAAACAAGGGGTACACTCAGGCATGCGTGACTCCTATCGCCTGACGGGCCGGGACATATAGTTCCGGACACCGGGCAGATTGTTTTTTTTCTACATTTAGCCCTGCAACAGGCAAATGCTGTGCTAGATCTTCTGTATTCAAGTCTAATAGGGGGTCTACATAAAGAGAGCCTGTCACCTCCAAATGCTATCACATAGGGGCTTGTTATCCCCTGTGTGATAACAATAAAGTTAAGTGAAACAAAAAAAAAAAGTATTTAAAAATTGGAAAAAAAAAATTAAAACCAACGCTGTCACCCCACCCATCCACTTTAGAATAAATGCAAACGTAGTGCCAACGGTGTCACCAGGCCTGGCTGTCACCCTGTGTGTGTGTATACGTAATGACGCCACATGCACTTCACTGCCGGCAGCCATCTTGGTGATGGACGCCAGCAAAGAGAGGTCGGAACATTGATCTGACGGGATAAGGTATGCTGCAGGGCCCTCCCCAAGTGCCCGACTTTTCAGAGGGGGTGACACCAAAAGTGCCTAAAGTACCATTTTTTGGTCCGCTGGACGCTGCTCTGTGTCCTCTGACACAAAGCAGTGCCCACCAAGGAGACAAACTCTTTCAGGGAGGCCGAGCTGGGCAGGGAGGAGAGCGCCGTCAGTGGTCTCACAGGAGGTTGAGGACTCCTCCCGCACCACCCCGCTCAGCTCTCTGTTCAATTATAACAGGGGCTGCAGAAAAAGAGATTCTCTATTTCAAAAGGGAAATATCAAGGGTCTGTTTAAACTCTTGATTATTTCCCTAAAGCCCCCAACAGTAAAGTAAAAAAAAATAAAAATAAACATTTAAATAAAATAAAGAATAACATTAAAAAAAGGAGAGAAAAAAAAGTTCCTGTTTCGGCCTGACAATTTTTTGATTTTCTGTGTGAAAATTCCATTTTGGTGCACCTGTAGTCATGATGTTATGTGTATATAGAAATGTGCTGCGCTAAATATTTTCCTAAAGTAAATCCACTGAATACACTAAACAGTGTCCACTGCCGTGCTATAAAATAAATTGATAACTCGTGTGCACTGCTCTACTGCTCATAAAACTTGCATAAACTTCCAAACAATGTGTACATTTTCATAAACCTAAATTTTCAAACATATTAATAATATTTAATATGACATTATTCAATAATAGTCCTTAGTAAATCCGTTTAAAGTGCTTTTGTGCAAAATCCACAGTGTGACAATGATACTCTGAAATAAAGTGCTCCTGACACCCGATGTGTTAAGATAACTGAGAACACTCACCAGAGATCTACGACCATATATCTCAATGGTCAATAAACGTAATTGTTGTGAGTGTCTTTCATGGATGGAATAATCACTCTTCTGATTAAACAAATCCTCCTTTTTGTATTACACGGCAGGTGCCGCTCACCTCAGCCAGGGGAGAAATCCAATATAGAAGAGGAATAAATGCGCCAAATGGTAAAGTACGTAAAAAAAAATTTGAATTTATTGCAACAATAAAAACACACTTACAAGATAGCTAGAATGAAAGCGCCTTGCAGCAATCATCAATCGATTCCACCTAAGCAAACCGGTTCACCTTTCCTGGAAAAAGCCAAGGGACGAAACACGTTTGAAAGGATAGGACACGCACTGAGGTTATACCATAGGTGACTAGCAGGTGGATTTCTGGTTCCAGCTTGCTTAGGTGGAATCGATTGATTGCTGCAAGGCGCTTTAATTCTGGATATCTTGTAAGTGTGTTTTATTGTTGCAATAAATTCCATTTTTTTACGTACTTCACCATTTGGCACATTTATTCCTCTTCTATGTTGGATTTCTCCCCTCGCTGAGTGAGCGGCACCTGCCGTGTAATACGAAAAGGAGGATTTGTTTAATCAGAAGAGTAATTATTTAATCCATGAAAGAAACTCACCGCAATTATGTTTTATTGACCATTGAGATATATGGTCATGTATCTCTGTTGAGTGTGTTCTCAGTTATCTTAACACACCAGGAGCCGGGAGCACTTTATTTCAGAGGATCATTGTAACACTGTGGATTTTGCACAAAAACACTTTATACGGATTTACAAAGGACTATAATTGAATATGGTCATATTGAATATTATTAATATGTTTGAAAATTTATAGTCATGATGTTATGGCTGATCGGTGTATTTGATATGTCAAATCTTCTAAAACAATACATTTTTCATCATATGTCATTTATTTAAATTCAGCTAAATATAATATCGACTGGTATGAATCTATTGCGTTTGCAAAAGCAGAGTCTACAAATATACAAAGTCTACAAATACAAGTGAAATCATAATAGACGTAATCTTACCGCTAAGACGCTCATGTCACTTCCTTTATTTTTCATTAAAAAGTCACAAATTTGTTCATTCTGAAGGATTTCTCTAGAAATGTACTTGCAATGATCAATAGTACTGTTGCCATATTTGCAAGTCATTAATGATGTAAAATCTGGACCATGACAATAAAGATCAAATGCTTCTTCTGCACCAAGACTTGGACCTAAGAATAAAAAAAATTAAAAAAACACCTTCCCGGTTAGGCGTTTATTGTGAAAAGCACAATTACCAACAGCACAATCTTGGGTCATTATGTTTAGCAGGACACTAACCATTAAATAGCAGCAAATTTCCCAAACTCATCTGTCCCACTATACAAATGGTATCTTCTGGAGAGGATGCCTGATGTCCAACCATACAAAAAGTTCTGTTGCTGTCAGATGATAAGCTTCCCTTCCGTGGAGGATTATATTCCAAGGTGACTTCGGATTTCCTATTATTAAAATTAAGTAACAAAATCACAGACTAAACCAATGTACTGCATACCAAAATTAAATAAGAACAAAGAGAGAGGGAGAAAGAATATATATATTTATTATTTATTTATTTTTCCGACACCTACATGGCGGCATACAATTGGTATGGCTCCGCCCCCAGCCCAATCACAGGACCAGTTCTACTATAAATTAAAGCCCACCTCCCAAGGCCACTATTCTTTTTTCTGTTCTCACTGCTCAAGCCGGTTATACTAAAGAATATGTTTGAGTTTTTTCCCTCATCTTGTTTGTTTCTTTTGGCCTGCCCCACAGGTTCAGCCTCTCCTGTTGCGAAGTTCTTTGTTCAGGTGGCTAAATGCAATCTTATAAGTGAAGCCTCCCCCATAGCCTTGGAGTTGGGGTGCAGGAAATGGTCTCTAGGGGTCTCTTCATGTTCGGACACTTGCTTAGCCTCCTGGTCTTGTGACTCCAGAGAAGGACCGTGACTCAGCTGCATCATCAGAAACTATGGTTGTACTGGAATGATCACATGCATGGATAGAATGACAAGTAGGATCCACTCCATTTTCTTTCAATGAATTTGTTTAAGATATACATGTGCTACTATTTCTTATGACTTTGCAGTGCTGCTTTGCTCTGGCTAAATCTTTCTGAATGTCTGTAGATCCCTTCAGTTTTTTATGTGTGCTTAAAACCTTACATATGTGATTCTGTGGTGCTGCTAATGCCTTAGCTGAATCTTGCAGGTATTTACCTGAAACATCCATTAGCTTGCTTGTGGTGCTTTAACCCTGCAGGTGCTTTCTACTTAACCTTTAACTGGATCTTACAGAAATGTGTTTGCCAACTCTGTCAGCTTCAATCTTGTGCCTTAACTCTTGGATGCCTTTCATGTGAGTATTTTGCTGTCACCTGTGGTTCCCCAGTGTTGTTAATGTTTAAAATGTAACTTATGGAATTGTTGCTTCATTGCAGGCCTATTCTGCCTGTTATTCAGTAATCTTTTTCATGGTCCAATGTATACAGCAGTGATGGGTCGTGCCTTCTTTGCTGGTTGAGGCATCCCCCAGCCCGCCGAAGCTCCGCCGATGTCTCGCCCCCAGCTCAGTAACCAAGCTGTGTGGGGAGGAGGAAGGGAGGAGACAGGGAGGAGCCTCCCTGTCCCTCACTTGCTCGTCACTGCTGAGGCATCAAGGTCGATGTCCTCACTGTTATTTTTATTGATTGGACAGCTTGTTACAATGACGCTTTGCCATTGGTCGAAGCCATCCACAGAGCTCACGCCTCTAACACTGAGTAGAGGCAGTGACAGCTCTTGCCTGACAGAGTTAGGTTACATAAGCAGTGGGGAAGTCCGCTGCTGTGTAACCCAACTACCTGTCAAAAGCTGGATGCAGCGCTGCCTGTAATTAACAGGCAGCACTCCGTCCATGACAGGTTACACACCTGGGAGGCTTTTCCTGCTGTGTAACCTGTTACAAGCCGCTCTGAATGGAGAAAAAGCTGTCAGCTTCAGACTTGAAGCTGACAGCTTTTACATTCATAATACTAGGTGAGGCTCTGTTGTGTTGTGTTAGGGACAAGAGCCTGTTGTGCTATAACCCTGAGCACATGAGTATGTGGCTTCTAGGTTTTCAGCATGGTTGTTAGTGTCTAGCAGGTTCTGACAGGTGCTGTTTAAATCATATCATTCTCTTCAGTTTATCTGTGATAGCAAAGGTTGGATCATGTGTTCAATTACCTAACCTCCTTCCCCAAGAGACCAGCTACATTCGATAAGGGTGAGGGTCAGGTAGGTATGAAGATAAAATAAAAAAAAGAGCATGCAAATATATGGGCATAATGAATTGTAAATCTTTTCAGCCCTATTGACAGCACAGTTCCTCCAAGTGCATATGCAGGGGTTAATGGATTGTAAATCTCTCCAGCCCTTTGCCATGACTGCAATGCATGAACTTTTGGATTATAACTCTCATCACCAGTACTGCTCCCCAAAGATAGAGTAAGCTGCTCAATTTGGGATAAATGGTCCTCTTCAAGCTGTGATACAGCTGCTACACATGCAAGATCCTGCTATTAGAATGCAGCTAGCAGATTGCATTACAAGGATTGTACAACCTTTAAGCAGTGCTTGGCCTGCGATCACCTGGCAGGATGCTGTGCCAGGTTTTTCCTGCAGGGGCAGCAATGAATAAAGAAGCAGAAAGATGGCGGTCTGTAGCCTTAAAGGAGAACTATGGGGATAGGGCTTACCCCCAAGTTCTCCTTAGGGTAACGGGAGGACACAAACTAGCGTCCTCCCGTCACCCTAAGCTCAGTATACCGCAGCTGTAGCTACAGCTCGCGGTATACTGAGACGCGGCAGCTGGAGCGGATCCCCACAATTATGTCTGGATCCGCCCAGCTGTGTGAGTGACAGCTGGCTCTGCCCATCTAGGAGGTAGAGCCAGCTGAACCCGCCCCCTCCCCCGTCCGTTCCGCCAGTCAGTGATGGGAGGATCGGAGCGGGGAGGGGGGAATCCAATCCCTCCGTCACGGCAGAAAGCCGTGACAGGATCGAGAAGTGAGCGAACTATGAGGACGAGTAAACAACACTCACCTCATAGTTCTCCTTTAAACAGAGGCGATGTACTTTATGGACTGTCTGATGCCTTAACCACTTGCTGTCTGGGGCATTTTCTTACTATTTGCGCACATGATAAAATATACATTTTTGGCTAGAAAACAGCTTCAAACCCCCAAAGATATAGGTTCGGAAAGCAGAGACTCTGTAGAATAAAAAAATGCTAGTTGCAATATTTTAGGTTGCATTGTTTTTGCGCAAATGTTTATCAAACCAGTATTTTTAGGGGGGAAAAAACAATTAAAATTTAGTGCACAGAAATACTCAATATTTTGGTAAAATATGAAAGACGGGGTCACGCCGGGTAAATAGACACCAAACATGCCAAGCCTTAAAGTTGCGTTCGCCTGTGAAGCCGCAAAAAAAAAGTCACTACCCCAAATTTTCCATAGGGAACATTTTAAACGCTTTTACCGCTCATCAGTTTAGTGCCAACAGTGATTGATGGCCCTAGAATTATTGCTCTCAATCGGACGTTCGCAGCGATATGTAACATGTGTAGCGCAATTGTTGTTTTCGCACATACGCGCACGTTTGCGTGTGTATGTGCGTGCACGTGGGGGGCGGGGGACTTAAAAAAATGTTTTCGCTTTTTTTTATGTTACTTTAATTTTTAAACACTTTTTTTTTTTTTTACAGTAACCCTATTGCCATCACATAGGGGGGGGGCTAAACAAGCCTCTATGTAATAGCAGATAGGGTGTGACAGGTCCTCTTTATAGAGACAGGTCCTCTTTATAGAGATATCAGGGTTCTTTCATTCAAACCCCTAATGTCACCTAGGGACCCCAAAGAAGTTGAGGAAGCAGAGATCTGCTTCCCCAGCTTCATCTCCTGGCTCTAAGAGCCGGAGACTGTAAAAAGTAACACCGGAAGTGATGTAATACACATCACCTTCCGGGTCCAGTGATATGAGGAGAGAACAGCGAGAGATACATTAACAGCAAATCGTCTGCTGTTAAAAGACGATCCTTGTTTTAACCACTTCTATAGACTTATTGCGGCCCGGAAGTGGTTAAACAGTGGTTATATACTTTATGAACTGTCAATTACTAGCCCAGTCAGGCAGCTACATCCACAAGTTCCCCTATAGACATATGGCAGTCGGCTACAGAGTTTTGCCCTGGTGCACCCATAGGCCAGTAAAGGCACTTACTTGCCGGGGCAGTCCATACTTGGCCTAAGAACACAGAAGCGGACTGTTTGGCTGGCAATAAGGTCTCAGGGCATGGTAGTTTCTGAATGCATTGACATCAGCAGTGACTTCATAGTGCGGCTGCTATGGATATGCTGCATTGCTCATCCGGGACTGCAGTTACCTTGAGTTGGTACAGATTTCACCACACATGCACCAATATCTAATGTCACAGGGGGCGGAAGAATTCACAATCCTCCTTTCATTTAAACAAACCAAGATTACTCCCTCCCAAGAAAAACAAAAGTAATTTTGAGGGTTCCTCTTATTGGTTATGTGTCCAGATGAAACACTGAGATCTTGAGGAATGCTGAATTAAGTTTTTTACTTGCTTAGAACGTTACATGAATGGATATAACATTGTGAAGAAAAGGAACTTCGTGTGCATCACAGATAAGCATCCACACAGTGACCAGCATTCCACTGCAGCGCCATCTACAGCTCAAAAGACATCAGTACATTAGTATAGGCCGTTGCATTTCCAACACCTCTGATCAACTTGCCCAGTAGGTCTCAGGTTGTGGGAACTTACAAAAGTTTGAACATATACTGTTCAGAATATATGCTCATGGGTCCTGTTAAGAGAGTTCAAGACTGACATTGGCAGGTTTTTCTCCTCATCTTTCAGTCCATTCATCACCATCAATGTTCCTTGGTGCAAGCGAAGCCCTAGGTTATATGTACACATATCCAAAATGGTGTCTCGTAATCTTTTCCAGTCCAAAGATATCAAGCTTTTTATCCTCTAAATCTTCCCAGTAGGACAACCAGGAGACTGGAGACTAGTCTTGGTTTGAATACTTTAAACAGATGGATCAGGATCCAAATATTGAATATGGAATCACTGTATTCAAATCACTTAAGCCATAGGGTGCTGTGCCTGGAAGATGTGTATTCACATTCCTGTGCACCTGTACTTCATAAAATGTCTTGCTTACCATTCTAAAGTTCCACTTTTGGTTTGTTTACCTGCCCTTTGGCCTTGCCACAATCCTAGGTCATTTTCCAAATATTACATCCAGTCACAGCCTTCTTGAGTGAACAAGTATTCCAACTATTGAAGCGACAGCCTGCTGATAGTTCAGCATGCTCATACTCTGGCAGTCCATGGAACCATCTTAAGTTAGGCTCTGATCAAATCAAAAGCGATCGCCAAGGGGGAAAGCTAAGTGATCTAGTGTTTTGCTGAGGCAGAGTATGCCTCTATCCTACCCCTTGGAGTCCCAAGTTGACAGGACAACTCCTTGGTGTCAGTTGACAGAATCAATTCAAATGGTGACACTAGACTTTTTGGAGGCTAAGGGGTTGATTTACTAACCTTATAAAAACACACCACGAACATGTCTACACCTCTGTAGTGTGTTCCCTCCCAGCATGATCTATGGGTGGAATCTAAACACCTTTGTAGTGTGTACACACCCAGCAGGTGTGCTGTGCAAAGCCTTGCATGAATTGCAAGGTGATGTTGTGTAAATTAGCTCTATGTTGTGTTGCTTGCGTTGATGAATGCAGGAATGTAAATGCATGAGCTAACCATTTTTGTCTAAACTGTGAAGCAGCATTATATATGCATTATGTGCATGATTTTTCCATACATGGCATTAGTGGAAATATGCTTTTAGAGACTTTTTGGTTGATAAATACGTTTTGCTGTGTGAAAATCACACGCACCTGGTGCGTGCGTGTGTTTAGGTTAGTAAATCACCCCCTAAGAGTCTTCCAACAGGGTTCTTCAAACAACAGTGAAAACATTTCCTGTGCCATTGGTTCAGGATGATTCCAAATAGGAGATTTTGGTTGTGGCTAAAGCCGGCAAGTCCATCTCAACTGTTATATATGTCCCTATCCAGTGATCATGTTAAAAGGAGAACTATGGGGTTAAGGCTTTTCCCCATAGTTCTCCTTGGGGTAACGGCAGGACACAAACTAGCGTCCTCCCGTCACCCTAGGCCGCAGTATACCGCGAACTGCTGCTCACGGTATAATGCGCAGCCGAAGCGGATCTCGACAATTGTGCCGGGATCCGCCCAGCTGGCTCTGACTATCTAGGGGCAGAGCCAGCTGTACCCGCCCCCTCCGCCAGTCAGCGCTGGCGGATCGGAGCTGGGAGGGGGGAATCCAGCCCCTCCCTTGTCACGGCAGAGAGACGTGACAGGTTTTGAGAGGTGAGCGAACGCCGGTATGTGTTCGCTCACCTCCCGATCTACTGAGCCGACCGGTGACAGTCTCATTGTCACAGGTCGGCGAGAACTATGAGGTGAGTGAAAAGCATTCACCTCATAGTTTTCCTTTACTAAAGGATTCCTATGTGTGAATCACTTCAACAGGCTTTTGGTCCAAGGTCAGTGACAATCCATCAGGGGGAAAATGTCTTCAGCATCTAGGAGTTCAGAGAGCCTTTCAGATCCAAGGAATCTCCGTATTAGTTCGATGAACAACTGGATGATGTTTTTTCCAAAGATTTAGTGTCTGCTCATAGATGTAGAAACTGCTCACTGCTGATGGAAGCACCTCTAAAATCAAGGATTCGGCGCTGAACTCCCCAGAATTTCCTGGCTGACACTATAAGCCATGAAGCCCTGGATGCCAATTAATGTTTTCTTATCCAGCAGTTTCCTGTGGATCAGCAGCAAGTGGGTTATCCAAATCTCATCCTGATGGTAATCCCTAAGAGCACAGAGTGCAGACACTTCTTGTCAAGAGAACGTTCTAAGGAAAGAGTAATGGATATTTTAATGCATATAGGTTTCCTTCTGTCCAAATGGATACAGGTTCTTAAATGGCACCCACAATTATCCAGGTAGGGTGATGGCAATCATTTGCTTGTGGCCCATCTGTCCAGGGTTCCCGCTCGTGTAGACTCTGACCCTGGAATCTTCTAGTCATCCTTATTATTCAGACCTCCTACAGCAGGTGCTACATCCAAACACATCCAAAACCACCTCAAATCGGCTTGAACGTTGGAAGTAAAGTCTGCCTTGCCTGTATTACTCATCTTCAGTCAATGAGTGTTTGTTGAATAATACTAAACATTACATATATTCTACAGTGTGGAATAATTACATAAAATCTATTAAGCTTGCGAAGTCGGTCTCTCTTCACCTTGCCATGACAGACATATTAGACTTTCTTCAGGCAAGCAATATGTACTTGGGTGTCGGTACCCTCTATATTCATCCTCCAAGACACAATGGGTAGCTCATTAATTAATAAGCCAGCTCTTAAGGACTTGCGCAAGGATTCACTCTTCAGAAAAGTCTCTTCTTTCCCTTAGAATTTACAAAACGTGCTGTACATGTTCTTCCTTCCTCAACTTTATCTAGCTCACACTTACTCAGTATGGTCAGTAACATGTAGAATAGTTTTTCTTATAGCAATCTCCTCACCAAGGAGTTATCGGAAGAGGCATGTTTGGATAGTCAAGATTAGGCTGGAAACCACCTTATTGCTACCATTTCACAGACAAGGTAGTCCTAAATCTCTCTCCCAGCTTCTTCCAAAGGTTGGAAGATCCTTCCATTTAAATAGGACATCAATGTTGCCAGTATGCCAGAATCAAGTTTTTGTTTCAGCTAATGCCCACAATGTGGCTGCTATGCTGGGGAAGAGCATGGAGGTTACATTTTCTTTCAGGTCAATCTGTTTATCTTTCTGGTGGTTTTAGAAAGTAGCACTCTGCATGCACTAGGTCACATGTATTGTGCCTGATCAAGCAGATGGAACAACAGATTAATCTCTGGGTTCTATCTTCCGAAGGATGTCATCCTTACGTATAGAATTTAGTGGTGTACCTCCAGAGTTATTCTGGAAGGCAGTAACCTGGTATACATTCCTGTCCCATTACAGGGTCTATCCAGGAGTCCTGTCCAAGGTGAAGTTTGGTTCTGAATGTGTTTACTAGTGGTACAAATAAAGCTCTCAGAATTACGCTCCCTGGTTGTGTGATCGCTATATCCAATTGTATGCTGCCATGTAGGTGTCAGGAAAACAGAAAATTGAAATTGTATAGCGTCATATCCAGAGGTTGTCTTTGGGAAATAGACGTATCAGTGCTGCCAGCATTGCTGCAGAGGTTGAAGGGGTGGGGGGGTCAGCCTGTCAGTGCTCAGACCATACGCCGCACACTGCATCAAATTGGTCTGCAGGACTGTCGTCCCGGAAGGAAGCCCCTTCTAAAGATGATGCACAAGAAAGCCCCCAAACAGTTTGCTGAAGACAAGCTGACTAAGGACATGGATTACTGGAACCATGTCCTGTGATCTGATGAGTCCAAGATAAACTTATTTGGTTCAGATGGTGTCAAGCGTGTGTGGCGGCAACCAGGTGAGGAGTACAAAGTCAAGTGTGTCTTGCCTACAGTCAAGCATAGTGGTGGGAGTGTCATGGTCTGGGGCTGCATGAGTGCTGCCGACACTGGGGAGCTACAATTCATTGAGCGAACCATGCCAAAAATGTACTGTGACATACTGAAGCAGAGCATGATCCCCTCCCTTCGCAGACTGGGCCGCAGGGCAGTATTCCAACATGATAACAACCCCAAACACACCTCCAAGACGACCACTGCCTTGCTAAAGAAGCTGAGGGTAAAGGTGGACTGGCCAAGCATGTCTCCAGACCTAAACCGTATTGAGCATCTGTGGGGCATCCTCAAATGGAAAGTGGAGGAGCTCAAGGTCTCTAACATCCACCAGCTCTGTGATGTCGTCATGGAAGACTGGAAGAGGACTCAAGTGGCAACCTGTGAAGCTCTGGTGAACTCCATGCCCAAGAGGGTTAAGGTAGTGCCGAAAACAATGGTGGCCACACAAAATATTGACACTTTGGGCCCAATTTGGACATTTTCACTTAGGGGTGCACTCACTTTTGTTGCCAGCGGTTTAGACATTAATGGCTATGTGTTGAGTTATTTTGAGGGGACAGCAAATGTACACTGACATACAAGCTGTACATTAACTACTTTACATTGTAGCAAAGTGTCATTTCTTCTGTCGTCACAAGAAATATCATACAATTCTCTCTCTCTCCCTCTCTCTCTCTTCACACACATACACTAACAGTAATTAGCAATAACATACCGTTGTCCAGAGACCCACATCAGTATTTTGCTGTGGACCTTATTCTTACTTTCCGACAGCTCTTTGTATGTGAAAGCCAAATGCTCCCAATTTCCAGGATGGAAAAAATTTTCTTGTGTTTCAGCTTGTGCCAGAAGGATGCATTTTAATTCATCGTTTACATGTGTGCACATCCTGTAAAATAGAGAACACTATTTTATAAGACATTGAACTATTGACACTTCCATCAGTGGAATTTTTTTTTCTCTATTAAGTGAGTGGTTTTACAGTTCTGCAATATCCAATGTCAGAGAAACCTGAACCGAGCATAATTAAGTATACATTTTAAACATATACAAAGTATTTTTTACTGAGCAAATATTTTACGTCGTCACTGCAATGTTTAAGTATTTAGACACTCTTAAACTTTTTTCCAAAATGAATCCAGATCAAAGTAGTACAAATTGCCCAGCAATGTATTTCTTTACATTTTCACCCAAACACTTACAATTTTCATGTTTCCAAACAGCTCCAACTCTCTCAGATCAGTTTCCATGAACTTCCTGTCCAGTACAAGATCACAGGGAACAGAGCAGTATCCAGCATCTGTCTCCAGCTTATTTGGGGGGGGGGGGGCATGGCTTGCCTTGCTGTGACTGTTTGTGGAGACACACACACAGCTAAGAAGCACATACAAGGGTGGCTCCATAGAACTCTGCAAGGGAAATGAGACCATCTAAAACAGGATATCAGGGCCAATGCTCCGGGGACCAGTTGACTCTGCAGGAAACTAAAACTTTTAAACATCAAGAAGCAGCATCCATTGCGAGTGATTTAATCAGCATTTGAAATAGCTTAAAAACCTTTTGAGATTAAAGTCAAAAGGTTTTTATTATCACTTTAATATCACTAACAGCATAATAAATTTTAATGTATCTCACAATTCCTGCTTGTTGTACTATATTTACACTATTGCATTACATATGTAGACTTTGAGATTCTTCCACTGGTGGCTTTCTAGATCCTACAGCAATGAACAACAACAGCTGAAGGCCAATCTCCGATACATAGAGCATGCATTGTTTTTAGTTGTGATTTCTAAACTTGCATCGAAGGATAAAGACAAATACTGTGCAGCACTACCATTGTGACACTCTGCAGTAGGAAGTGGAACCTGCATATGTATTTAGCAAATATGGCTGCCCTACATACATATGGGGGGGGGGGGGGGGG